CTTCATTTTTATTACTTATTAAGCCCAAAAGTACCTGGGCCTCTTATAGGTATAAAAATAAAAAGTGGAGAAGAGATACCGAGAATAGCTCAGTTGGTAGTAGCGGCTGACTGTAGAGTGTGTTTCATCAGTAATCAGCAGGTCCCTGGTTCAAATCCGGGTTCTCGGATCTTTTTTTATGATAAATTTATAAATTCTCTCTTTTAAGAGAGTTGACCATAGTAAGAATTTTCGTCACTTTATAGATTTAAACCTCAAAAGAATATCATTATAATTTTGTATTTAAAATAGTATCTACTACTCAAATTGAAAAGAAAATTAAAGAAAAGGCAAAAGATTTAAGAATTAGGTCCAGGAATATATGTAGCATATCCATGCATAGGCATTTGTTCAACTGGAGGACAAGATGCACCATCAGGAAGTGGACTTTTCTCATTAATACTATAACTATAGTTGTTGCTACATTTAAAGAACGTAGGATGTCCATTAGTGTCTGTGACACAGTAAAAGTCATTTGGGACACATGAGGATGGAAGATCGGCAGGAAGGTGATCTTGACTTAGTGTGATGTTATGGGGTGTAGGGGAAGCAAATGCTGTATCATGGTTTATCCATGGAGAATGAAGTAGTCCAATGATAACTGTCATAGATACTATTGCTGAAAGGTGTTTAAAGAAGAAAGTCATAATAATAATAATGGTACTTTGTTGGAACTTCTATATAATTATAAAAATGTGTTTTAGTTTAGTTTAGTTTAGTTTAGTAGAGATTTTAAAGACAATTGTAATATATTGAAATGTATTATATTTTGTTTGAGGTTTTTTTACCAGCTACTCGTTTATATATATATAGATATATATATATGTGTGTAATTTTATGTGTCAGAAATTATTAAAGAAACGGTTTATAATGCTTAATTTACTTGAAAAATGCAAAAGAGAAAGAAAGACTATGCGAACATGCCATGGAAACACAGAGCAAAGTGGAACCACCTTTTATTTTCAAAACAACCACCCTTCTGTCTCCCCCAAGCCATAAGCACATACACATACACAAATATGTGTTCATCTAATACTTTCAAATATCGTGTTGTGCTTTATCAAAGTCTTCGTGCTTCTATAACCCACACACTCACGTCTTTGTAAAGAATAGTATAGTGTTGAAAGGATTTATGGTTAAGCACTGTTTCCCTTAACTTTATGGTCACATTAATAAAGAAAATCTTTAGTTTCAACACAATCGTATGGATGATAACCTTTCAATGAGATACCCTTCAACCAAAAAGAATCTGCGCGATTGTTTTGATTCCACAAGACACAAACTTTTGAATACATTGAAAATAAAACAAATAACTAGTCTTTCTTTGCCTTTTGCTCTCTATTGTTGTTGCTGCTACTAAAAGTTTGGGTTATTATTTTTGTAATTGAGAAATTTAGTTTTTGCTATATACATACATATATATGGTAAGATTCCACTTGAGATCAAGCATATTGTGACAGAAATGAACCTTCGTATTTTGGCCCAATCATCAATTATTCTATATGCAACTCTGAGGGACCCATTTTCCCTAAGGCCTTGTAAAATATGACCATATAAATATAAGTATATAAATTCATCAACCAACCAAACTATCCTTTATCAGAATTCGACATAATAACCACAAAAATAAGTTTTAGAATTATATCCCTCAATCTTAATACTGGATCATGCCATGTTTTCCATAAAGCTATATAACACAATGTCCCTTAAAACGTGACTTATCTTATCTTTTAGAGATAGGAGTGTATTTAAAAATAGTTGCAATCCACTAATAATAACAACAACAATATCTGCAACATAAGCATTAACCGTAACAATCGAAAATACATTTTAGGCAATACATATCTTACAAGCCACTGTAAATCTCTAGTTATTGTTGCCTTAAAGGAGTTGGGGAGGGGTACAGAGCAAAGTAAAGCAGAGTAGAGGAGATAGAGAGTAAAAATAAGCCGAATATACAGTTTAGTGCATTATAGTGCAATGTTGTAATATTTACAAGTTTAGTAATAGTAGTAGTAGTAGTAGTAGTAGTAGTAGTAGTAGTAGTAGTAGTTGTAGTTAACATACAACAGCCATAAAGTCATATATAAATATCCCACGTATATCCATAGCAATTCTATCTTTACATTTGGATTACTAAATTATAAGCCTTTTTATTCCTCTTTTTCTATTACATAATGTTCTACCAGCTCAAATCATTCGTCGGCCTCGTTTTTATCGTCTCTGTCTTGGTTTCCGTGTCATCTTCAACCCCACTCCCAGGCTCCGGTCCTAATGACGGCAAAGATGGTCTTCAGACAGGCAATATTGCTGGTCCTAGAGTTCGTCCTTCCAAACCATGAGTAGTAGTTTAGTTAAATAGATGAGCTGAGAAAGAGGATACATTAGTCTACAGGCTCGAAGAGGATTTCAATCACGATGACACTTGGGAATGTTTGCTATTTGATAATCAAACCAATTGAGAGAGCTACTCAGAAAACATGGAATTATATGTGATGGAGGGAGAGATAGACTAATAGCAATCCGGTTTTAATGGACTGTTTATCTATATTTAATTTGTAATAAACATTAACACAAGAATATATACACCAGAAAAAAATCTGGACTGCTATTGTTATAACTCTTTTAGAGTACATTGACAATTTGCATGTATGGACTATAATTTTTGAAGGGTGAAAGTTTACTAGTAAAACTAGACATCCGCTTGGCTGTGAATGCCCCTATAAATATTCACTCTTCAAAAATTATGATCCATGTGTTGAGTATTATGCAAGCACAGCCACTCTTTTCCCATTATTTTTTTTGTAAATTTCGGAAAAATAAATTTCTAAATAAATAACATTGTTATTCTACAACAATAAATCAATAAAGGCGTGCAAAAAGAGAGAGAGAGAGAGAGGAGATATTTAATCAAACTCGAAAATACATAGTAAAAATAGAAAAAGACAAAAACATAAAAGGTTCTGGATATATGGAAATAAAGAAATATATGTGCGAATACCACAAGGAGGAGGAAGAGCAGCAGCAGCATCAACAACAGATGCTAACTAACAACGAATTAACAAACTGTCAGTTATACGAAAAAAAACACAGATATTTTAGATATATATAACTATTAAAACAGCTTAAATGCTGGTAGATGTTTCTTTTACGACATTTGGTGAAGTAGTATTCTGGCCTTGAATAGTAATAGTATCAGCCACACCAGCCTGTTGTTGCTGTTGACTCTTGAGTGCACTAGCCTCAGCCCGTTTCTGCAAAATATTCTTAATAAAGAATTCGCCGGCCTTATACGACGATCTAACCAAAGGCCCACTAGCAGCATACAAAAATCCCAGCTCTTTGCCAACTTCTTCCCAATGCTTATATTTCTCCGGAGTAATATACTCATGAACCTTCATATGTCTCTTTGTCGGCTGCATATACTGTCCCAGCGTCACAATATCAACATTGGCCGCCCTCAAATCCTTCAAAGTCTGCAACACTTCGTCATCCTTCTCACCAACTCCCAACATAATAGAGCTCTTTGTCAACAGACTGGGCCTACACTTCTTGGCATATTCCAACGTATGCATTGATTGCTTATATCCAGCCCGATGGTCACGCACATAGCGTTGCAAATTCTCAACCGTCTCGATATTATGGGCAAACACGTCTAATCCAGAAACCGCAACCTGGTTAATAAGTTCATCACGACCCTGGAAATCTGGTGCCAATGTTTCTACCATCATCTGGGGTGCTCTGGCTTTAACTTCCGTAACGGTCTTGGCAAAATGCCCAGCACCGAGATCAGCCAAATCGTCACGATCAACTGACGTGATTACGACATAATCAAGGCCCCAGGTGGCCAGGGCTTTTGCTACATTGACGGGCTCGTTGGGATCGAGGGCCGCGGGAGTGCGGCTGGTTTTGACGGCACAGAACCGACATCCACGAGTACACGTGTCGCCCATAATCATAATGGTGGCTGTGGCCGTACGGTGCTCACCTCCTCCCCAGCATTCGCCGATGTTGGGGCATCGGGCTTCTTCGCATACGGTGTGGAGGTTAAGCCCGCGCAGGGTTTTGCGGATTGAATTGACATTGTTGCCGACGGGGATATCGGTCTTGAGCCATTCGGGGAGTCTGACGCGGCCCTTGGGGGTCATTCTTTGCATGACTTGGGCGGTTGTCATGGGCTCCTTGGTGCCAACAACAAAGTCTTCGAAATCAGGGCCGCCGGCCAGCTTTTTGCTAAACTGTGATCTTCTGGTGCCATTGACTTTTTCATTGGCGGTGCCAGTAGGAGTGGTTGGCTCGCCAGTTTCGGTGGCCAAAGTACGTTTCTGTTGGATACTGCAAGCAGTCTTTATATATATATATATATGTATGTGTGTGTTAAATATAAGGTGGTATCAGATTCGGTATTGTAAAAGAAAAGTAGTGCATATATTGCGTTGTTGCTATGTAGAAAAGATCTGTTATGTTATGTTACCTTTGCTAGAGAAGCGCTGGTGCTGCTGCCAAAAGAACTACCAACAACAAAACTACTTTTGGTCGAATTGGGAATTGCCAAGCGGCGATTGACCGAAGGGATTATAGATTTCGTAGCCAACATTCTAGTCGTTGCTGGGAAAAGTAAAGAAACAAAATTATAAGTGTAGTATAAAGACAGAGAGAGGAAAGAAGGAGGGGAGAGCCAAAAAACTAGGAGCTGATCAGACTAAAGTAAAAAAGTAAAGTGCGTTTAAACCACCGAGTCGACCACACAATAAGCTTGCTGCTTGTCCCAGTGATGTTGGCGAGGTGATATGTGCGGTTCTGCAAAGTGCGGTGGTATTTTTATATCAAAGCGCGCCTGTGTGGCTATAATATCCCAAGCGCCTGTCATCACATTTCTGTTCTGTCTCTCCCGCATCACCCTGTGCTTTTTTGCTCTACCACCATGGCCATCACATATGTGTCTCTGCCTAGCTTGGTTTAGCTCTATCCCTTTGGCTATAGAAAGAGAGCGGGCAAAAAACTCGTTGTGTTTATTTGATCTCCAACCGTCCTCTCTTTCTCTCTCCCACTCCTGTAACCAACCACTAACCAACCAGCCATTTTTGGATTCTATAAACCTCCGCTGGATTGATCTAATCACAGTAGCCA